CTCACAGAAATTTCCTAACGGGAGTACGTGCCGTGACGGTGATCCCACCTCTGCCACAGCAACGGTGCATTGGAAGGTTTCTGCAGAACTGCGTCATAAATCCTGCGCGGTTACTGTAGAGGTTCAAAGTTCTGAACGACGCGTTTGACAGCACATTCCCCTCTTTATCTTACACTTTTTCCGCTAACAAAGGTGGTCATCTGAGAAAGAACATGAGAGGTCATGGGTATCATATAGGAAAGGCGGAAAATTACGGATTTCCGTTGACTATAGCACTTTGGAATTGGAGTCTTCTGGAATAGCTGAGGCTAGTCTCTGTAGATGGAGTTGCTGCTCCAGGACTTCATCTTCACGGCGATTTTTATGGACACACTCATAATCTGCGGAAAAGGGCATGAATCCTTTGTTCGCCGCTATTCCGTCAACATTTATGAATGGAAAGTTGGCCTTAGAACCTGTCAGAACGGCGTTCCTGCTGATGGAAGAGGGGTAGTGAAGTCTTCTTCGACTCGACTGCAGCTCAGTTTAGCACTAAGAAAACCCAATGTGCGACTGATTGCGAGGCAGTGAGAAAAGTGGGCCAGCCTTGAGTATTTGCCGTAAGATTGTCGTATCAGTTGCATCAGAGGTCTAGTAGGAGATGCGGTCGTAGGCCTCTTGGTGGGTTCTGCCTGAATAACGACTATGACAATCACGGAAGGGTACCACTCGACCGCTCTACCATTCGCTTGTCAGTGCTATTACTGACGATCCATTGGTTGCTCTTTCGCGTTAGTTGTGACATGTAGCTTATCTCAGAAGTCTTTTGAATATGACCCCATTGGTACGATTTCCACATTCTATGCGTGACACTGATTGGATCAAAGGCGGTTACGCTCCGCGGCAGTGAAAAACGAATCAATAGCTGTCGCCGATGCTGACCGACAAAACTGTCTTGCGCCAGCAATCGCGGGCAGCGGCTAAAATGGCCAGAGCAGGGAGCTCCAGGTTGCAACCATGCAGTGCTCGTAAACCTTTCCACTAGCTTTCTTTTCCTTTTGCTCCTTCGGAGCGAGGTCCTGCTGTTCAGTCGTTCAGCGACAACACCGGGCACGGCGACCGGTTTTTGACCTTCGCCGAGTGTGACCACAGCCTAATCCAAAAGGTTCATCGTCCTTTTGACGCTAGTCCTGGTTGAACATGGTAAATCTGTGGCGATAGCTGTGTTTTGCGAATTATTATCACGCTTAGTCCCAGGAGATGTTCCGTGACCTTCACAAAGTTTTACTGTGATGTTCGTTCCCTGAATGTGTTACATACCTGTAAACAGCAATTAAAAAAATTCCCACTTACGAACTTCGACCGCTCTCAAGTTTAATGAAAGCACGCACCAGCGCGTGCAGTTTCATGTTCAAGCGCGCCTATCTTCGGCAAGCAATCATATGTTGATTTTAGATCAGTCCGCGCCCGACCCCTCCACCTTTTTTGGGGTTGGCACGCACTCCCACCCCTCTCTCTTCTCTCCTTCCCTCACAATTGAGCGTGAGCGGGGGCGGTAAATAAGCACACCGTGCCGAAATTCCGAGAACGAAGCGACCCCACCTCCCAAATGACCAATACGACTCGCCCCCCCCCCCTTTAAAATGCGGGGGGGAAAGTCAATGTGCGGGAAATCAACAATCAAATAAATTTTTCCAGCCCAATACAGTACCCCCCCCTCATCACTCGCCAAATAGACCCCCTCCTATTGGGGATTCCCCAACAACGATGTGCCCTGTTCTTCGGACATGCTAGCCCTTCCTATAAGCGTGGAAAATGTACTAACAAAGCTCAGAAATACGTGAGGTAAGGGGTGCCCGATCGCGACGAGGTTGCGGCCCCGCCCACTGGCCACTGCAACGCTCAATATTCATTTTTCACTGCTACGGGATGCAGAGCTCATACCAACAAGTGAGAACTCGTCCCACCATGCCCCTTCTTCGCCATATGCACGTACAAGCGCGGTCCCTGGCACTCTACACTGGGCATCTCAGGCAGATTTTTAGTGCTTTTTCTTCATCTCCGTATCATTCACCAGCGTATAATTAGCATTTTAGCCGCACAAATCACCTTTTTTGAACGCGGGGCGTGCCTTCAAGTTCTCGCTAAACTGTAACTAGAGGCGTTTCAGATGGGTTGCGCTTTTTGTGATTGAGGTTTGCTTTTTATAGGAACAAGAAAGAGTCCGCAGTGAGACGATGGCTAACTACACTTTTCTCCGAAGAAGAGCCTCCAGTATCGAATAGCCCACCCAGTTGCTCTGGTCTTGTACGGTAGGGAACAGTCGCCTCACTGTGGATTGTTTTGGTTGTATAACTAGGTGGTGGACTTAAATGAACTAGTTTTTTTTCTAACCTAGTAGAAACCAATAAACTCAATAACCTTATATCTAATTAACTCCTTAGTTTTCTTCTGGTCAACTAGTTGACCGATTTCTAATTGTATTTTAATTTTCAGGATGAATCCCGATTTGAAAAGAGAGTTTATACGACTCATCAGAGAGGAGGAGATGCTGTGGAATACTGATTGCAGGGATTACTACAGACTAGACAAGAAAAATCTGGCATGGTCAAGAATATTGACTGCTCTGGAAAGGAAAGGTTTCCGTGGAGGATGTAGGTTGACAACCTTTGATACTGTTCTTATTATGCCAAAAACGGCAAGCTTAGCTTTTTGTTGATCGGAAGGCTTCTGTCTACGAAACATTCCCTCGATGGAAGGTTTTAAAGGTATTTTCCCCATGCACCTATTTGTCGAGCATTTGAGATGAGAAGACAGCGGTAGAGGGGGAGAGAAAGAGGGTGGAAACGAAGGAAGGAAGCAGAAAGAACGAAGAAAAAGGGAGGTTTCGCGGTTGACAAGTATACCGAAACACAAGTTCTTCCTTTAGGGTTACTATTGGGAAGCCATAAATTATCATCTCCCACATTGTTGTGACAGATCTTCCTCCGGTTCATTCTTCGGTTGCTGGCCTGAATCCTTTGCCTCGAGGAGTCCGTGCAGATGTTTGCAAATCTCGCACCAAGGCCCTGACACTATCTCAGGGGTAGACACCTCTGAGATGGTGCAGTTGTCCTCCATGTCAGTCGTACCACTACATACTTTGGGGTCGCCCATAGACCGTCATACAGCCGATTTCGTACGAAACGGTGCTTCAAATTTTCCCGGTGGCACATTCACAATGGCCATGTGCTTTCTAGGCCACCTTTTCACATTTTTTTTCTTGTTTTTCAAAGTAAGAAATCCCCCTGTCTTTTCAGGGCGTGGTCCTTTTTAAGCCATTTCCTTGTCTTCTTTCTTCACACTGTTCCATGGTTTTCTTTACTCACCCTTTTACTGTTCATAACTAAGAATGACCTTTGTTTCGCATGTCTGGATGGTTACATTACCTACACCTAAAATGGAAGCAGGGTAAAAAATGATTCAGTCAGGACGTCTGCAGCAGGACTTACCGTGGATTGTCCCACACTCCTGTCTGCCTAACGTCCCTCATATTTTTCATTACATTTAGTTTTAGTGTCGTTTTGAATGTCCATTATTTTTGCTAATTATTTGTTAATCTTTGGATGTAGCTCGTTTTCAGTACTAGACCTCAAAGCAACTTGGAAAGGTTTACGAGACACGAAACGGAGATACAACATGCAACCTACCGCTTCCGGAAAGCAGTGGATGTTTGAGAAGGACTTGGAATTTTTGGATCTTCCAAGAAATGACTCGTTAGTATCATCTGTTCAACTTCAACCTTTATGTCCGTAATCAATTCTTTTACAGCGTTCAATTTTCGCCCCATGTTGAAAACGAATCAAAGGTTAACAGTCTAGTCGATAGTCCTCGTAGTTCTGCCACACCAGAAGAGATTGGTGAGGAAGGCGGCGACGCGGACGATGCAAATGAAACGTTTTTCGTACCGGTTTCTGAGATGGGCGGCGACAATAGTCCAGAGAACGGTGCTGAGGTATCACGGAAACGAAGTTACGCAGGAGGTTTCAATTCAAATAAGAAGAAAATGGACTCACTTCAAGAAGGTAATGCCTTTTGCAGATTACATTTGTGTGGAAGTCTTCTTATCAATCTTGATTTCGCGTAAAGTGATTTTGGGAGGGGGGGGGGAGAGTTCTACTTGTTGCTTGTAATCCTAGAGAAATGACGCACCCACCCAGTCTTCCACTCACCTGTCGTGGCTGCAATCGTTAAAAAGGGTTTGGCGTATTTACAGTTTTTTTGTTTGCGAATGATGGGGCGCGTCAGTGAAGCTGGGCTTCACGCGGCGCCAGCTCATTCTTCACCAGTTATTGAAGCGGACCAGCGGCATTAGTTGGTGGAATACGACTGATACAGCGATATGATACAGTCTTGTTGGTTGCTCGCCTCAACTGTTTGTACACGAGTTCGGCGCTGTGCTAAGCCCATCCGTCCTGGCACGTCCCATCGTCCGCAGCGAACAAGACTGTAAGGAAGGGCCGGCGACCATCGTCTATA